TAACCAATGACGTAAAAAAGGACCATGCAAGATTTCTATGGACAGCAATATATGTACAAACTGGGCAACTTAGAACAAAGGGGCAAATTCCTAGAAACAGTTGATCTACTGAGATTAAATCCCTAATAAATTAAAATTATGAGCAGACTTGTAAATTTTATAGAGATAAGATCAATAATCAAAAATCTCCCACAATTAAAAGCCCAGGACCAGATGGCCTCATTGGTGATTCTACCAAATATTTAAAGAATTAACATTAATCCTTCTCAAATTCTTTCAAATTCATTATATAAGGCCAGCATTCACATGACGACAAAACTAAGATAGATAACAAAGAAAACAAAAGTATAGGCTAACATCCCAATGAATATAGATGAAAAAATCCTCAACAAAATATTAGCAAACCAAAACCAGCTACACATTAAAAAGATCAAAAAATATACCAAGGGAGATTTATCCCTGGGATGCAAAGATGGTTCAATGTACAAGCCAAGAATTAATATGATAGCTCAAGTTAAAAGAATAAAGGATAAAATTCACAATTGCCTCAATAAAGAAAATAAAAGGGTTTGGCAAAATTCAAACTCCTTTCATGAAAATAACTCTCACAAACTGGGAATAGGAGAAAATTATCTAAATTTTTAAAAAAGATTATTTATATATTAAAGACCACAGCTAACATCACAGTCAATAGAGAAAAGCTGAAAGTATTTCCCCTAAGATCAAGAACTGGGAAAATTTGATCATTCCCATTTCAAAAACAGTCCTAGAAAGCTCAGCCCAAGAAAATGGGAAAGAGCTAGAGCAACAGTAAGAGGGAGAGAGAAAGATCCACAGCAGAAATGAAATATGTACTTTAAATTATCTTATTTTAGAAATAGGGAGTTGTCAAATAGGGCTCAGAATTTTAGGCCAGCAGGAATAAGCTCTGAAGATCTGATATACCTCATACCTATAGCCAACAATAATACACTGAAAATTCACTGGATTGGATTAAGTTGGCAGAGTATGGAGGGAGCTTGCCACTCTAGTCTAGGAGGAGATACTCTAAAAAAAGTGGAGAGACTGCAGTCTCAAGGAAGAGTTAGGGAGAAAATGGCAGCGGAAACTCCATGCAAATTAGAGGGACACAGGGGACCTATAGGGAGGGTGTGGGCATGCACAATTCAGGATCCCAACAGCCAAGAGCCTCTGCAACAGCTTTGGAGAGAGGCCAGATCCGACTGCAGCACCCCAAGCCACTGCAATAAAGCTGCAGGAAAAGCTGGGAGGGGATCTGGCTTGGAACCATGTAGGGGACAGTGTACCTGCCAAACTAGAGGAGAAAAAAAGGGGATGGGGGCGGCACATTTCTCCCTCTCTGATCACCCTGCAACAGTGTCCTGCGACAAGGCAATACAGAGTGGGTGCCATTTTGGACATACATAACAGCTGTACCGGCCCATGTCCGCACCAAGCAACCAGCTGAGCAGAGGCTCCTGAGTCTGGCAGGGAGAACTGACAACGGGTTGGGTGCTTGTGTCTATGGGAGGTTTGTGTATCAGGACTCTGAAAACACTGAAACTGCAGGCCTTTGAAAACACTGAGTCTGCATGGGAAGGCTCAGAGTGTGGCTGAGGCTTGGGGCAGTCACTGTGGGAGGCTCCACACACTCAGGGCTCCCTGGTTCCCTAGTGAGGGACATTGCTGGGGAATCTTCTTATACCCAGGACTGCACAGATCCTTTGTGTGGTCCTTGTGGAAATGTGGATGAATATTATACCCACTGGGGCTAGTGCCCAGGCACCAGTCCCCTTTGAGGAGAGGAAAGAGCTGAGTCTATGCCAACAAGAGAAAAACCTCCCCTTTGATTAAAAAAAAAAAAAAAAAAAGAGGAAATTTACCACACCCACTTGGGTGTCACCTTAACACTCCCTTCACTCTGGAGCACTGAACAGAGATCCCTGGCCACCCCCACCACATGCCTGTAGGTATTCCTTGAAAGCAGATACTCAGACATAGTCCAAAGATAAATCCACTCATAATCCACTCATAGTCCAAAGATAAAAGCCACCACATCAAAAAAAAAAAAAAAAAAAGAAGAAACAAGTATCTCCACAAATGCTTAATAATAAACCAATTCAAGAAACAAGAAAACAAATACAACATATGCCCCCAAAAGATTATAACACTTAAATACTAGATTATAAAGATGAAAAGTTTGAAGAAATGTAAGAAATGGAATTCCAAAAATTGATTTTAAGATTACATAGAAGTAATCAGAAGCAAATGCATGAACTAATGAAATCCATACATGATATGAAAGAAAATTTCTCCTGCAAAATTGAGATCTTAAAGAGAAAGCAAAATGCAATCTTGGAAATGAAGAATTCAATAGAACAAATAAAAAATGCAATGGAAAGCCTTAGCAACAGAATTGGTGAAGCAGAAGAAAGAATATTGGCCTTAGAAGACAAATTGTGGGAAATTATACAAACAAAAAACGAGAAGAGGAAATCAGAAAACTAAAAACACTGTTGGGAATTTACAGGATACTGTCAAATGACCCAATGTATGGGTTCTAGGAGTTCCTGAAGGTGTGGAAAGAGAGGAAGGAATAAAAGGCCTTTTTTAGTGAAATAATAACAGAAAACTTCCCTAATTTGGAGAAAGAAAGGGAAATCCAATACAGGAAGCACACAGAACTCCTAATAGAGATGACCAGAAAAGATCCTCTCCATGACATACTGTAATCAAACTCACTGCAGTAAAACATAAAGATCCCAATATGTGCATGAGAGAAATGTCAGTGTTAATAATAATAGATAAAATTAAAAATGAGTGAAAGCTGCAACATGGGGAGCAGTCCACACAGCAGACTCATAGAATTCCAATCACTATATATATATATATATACACACACAAACACACACACACACACACACACACACCCCTCAGAATCAGCCCTTGAGGCATTCTCTTCTGGTTGAAAAATCCCATGAGAGCATTTCAGGCATGGAAATCCAAGACACTGATGCAAAAAAGTGTCCTACATCAAGGATCTCACTGGGTGAGACCCCAGTGGAAAGAAGTGGTCATCAAAGAAGGAGGTACGCTACTCTGAAGGGAGAAGAGAACCTCCACTTTGCTTATGGCCTTGTCTAAATTTTGATGGAGTTTGTGGATTCAAAGGCTTGCATAGCCTATGCAGCAACTCATGTGAAGAGTGATCGGGTGATCACTGATGTCATACGTAAGACTTTTAATTGTTAAATTAACAATAAGAGTCACTGTGCACTACCTTCCCATGCAGGACCTCTCTCCTCAAAGAGCTGTATTATAACTATGCCAAATGCTCCCAAAAGATGTGTCATTCTTGGGTGCTTCATTAAAATTAATTTTCTGAGAAAAAGAAGTGAAATTAACTTGAAGATGCAATGATTTTGAAACAATCCTTATCTCAACTGTTGAGGAACAGGGTTTTTTGGTTTTTTTGTTTGTTTGTTTTACAGGCAGAGTTATACAGTGAGAGAGAGAGACAGAGAGAAAGGTCTTCCTTCCATTTGTTCACCCCCCAAATGGCCGCTATAGCTGGCACGCTGTGCCGATCCAAAGCCAGGAGCCATGTGCTTCCTTCTGGTCTCCCATGCGGGTGCAGGGCCCAAGCACTTGGGCCATCCTCCACTGCATTCCCAGGCCACAGCAGAGAGCTGGATTGGAAGAGGAGCAACCAGGACTAGAACCCGGAGTACCGGTGCCGCAGGCTGAGGATTAGCCTAGTAAGCTGCGGCACTGGCCTAGTTTTTTGGATTTTTTTTTTTTTTACTGTGCAAATTGTTGAACTCTTTTACTTAGTTAGAGTTGGTCTTCTGTGTATAAGTTAATAAAAAATGGATCTTAGTGGAGAATGGGCCTAGGAATGGAGAGGGAGGATGAGGAGGGGTGGGAGAGTGAGTGGGAGGGTGAGTATGGTGGGAAGAATCACTATATTACTAAAGTTGTACTTATGAAATGCATGAAGTCTGTATTCCTTAAATAAAAGTTTTCTTTGGGGGAAAATAAATATATATATATGAATGTATGTATGTATGTATATATATATATATATATATATGTTTTCCAGAAAATTCAAAAAAAAAAGAAAATCTATTAAGAGGGTAGATATCATGTTATATACTTACCTAAAGTAAAACTTAATTTAAAACTAGTTAAAGCTGCCATTGCACTCCCAAATGTGCCAAAACAGATCCTATAAACTGTACTTGTTATGCAGAGCTGACTAGGATATGCAGCTACCTGGAGCCCTCTGCTTGCAAAGCACAGCTCAACAACAGCTCTGAGTTTGGACGTTTACCAAGAATCTTCTCACCTGTAACTGAAGATCACTGGCTTAAATGAAGCTGTCTGGCGGACAGCACTGCATCAAGGTCCATCTGGGCTCTCAGGGATCTTTGTGACTTGACAAATTCAATGGTAATGATTTTGGCTTTTGAATAGTCTAAGTTATTCACTATTATATCACAGAATCTAACACTGCCTAGTTATATAGTTTTTACATATATTTGTGGTAAAGCAAATTGTGGTAAGGGATGTGCAGTAAATAAGGGGGAAGTAATCCTCTGTCCAAATCAATCTGATATTTAAAGTTAACAAGTTTCTTTAAAAAAAAGAAAAAAAAAAACACTTGGTGTCCCAAAGTCTTAAAATATTAGTAACCACGATTCTGTGTGGTCATCCCACGACTCCTTTCCTATTCTTCCACAAAGACATTTTTTTCCAGGAGTATTATAGCAAGATGAGGAAAGAATATAGTGTGAACCTTGAGAGAATCCCCTCAAACACCCAGATTAGCATTCAAAATATTTAAGTCAGAAGCCGGAAGCTGGAGTGTGACATCTGCCAGAGGCTACCAGACAACCAGTGTCAAACGCCCCGGGCAGCTGTTGCTTCCAGAAACAGTGTTGCCCAGCCTCCCCTGTATGCTGCCCCTCGCGCGCCCGCTGCTCTTCTGCCCTGGCCACCTGAGATCTTTGTCCTGCGTGTTCACATCGTATTTCTTGAGCTGCAGGTATTCCTTCAGTTTCTCCAGATCCCCAGTTGAAGCTGCTTTGTGAAGTTTCCCGAAACGCTTTTTCTGCAGGCTGAAGCCCCAGCCTCTGAGCAGGTCTGACAAGTGGCTGTGGGACTCACTCTTCCCGCTGCAGAACCTTAAGAGCTTCTCCATGGCTGCGCAAGGCTACTGTCGTCAAATGGGACCAATATGGTTCAAACACAGGCCTTGCTCCTCAGCCCTGGCCTCAGGGCTCACAGCCTCCTCCGGCCCCAAACCAATAGTGGACGGGCGTGAGACCCCGAGCTTTACAGGCCTTGGTTGCCCGGCAACGTCTGTGAGCTCTCAGCTGTGGTTGTGACTGCATCCCCGAGGCTCTCGCGAGATTCTCCCCTTTGCCTTGGCCATACAGCCAAATCCACGGCCTTCCTTGGAGAGCATGAGCCCGTGGATGGAAATCTACCAACTCTTACAAATAGCCCCTCCTCCTTCAATGGCTTGAACTCTTGCCAACTAAGATTTACCTTGTGGGGTGAAGGGGTGGATTTTTTCTTGTGATTTTGCCTTGAAATTTCTCCCAGCCTCACCTCCATGGTCCCCATGCTACAGCCCATCTTTAACAAGAACTAAAATCTCTCCATAGTCTCAATTAAACACATACTTTTTGAACACCACTGCTCAATCACAAAGCTACAGAAGCCCTTAGAAAATTGGATTCACTGACCCTACCATCCAGGAATCCCTGAGCTTCACCACCTCACTCTGCACCCTCGTTTTCCCGTTGAACTTGGTTTAACTCCATGGTCAATCATCATCATCACTGCCATTGCATATACCTTGAATAACTCTGCCTCTATTCCTTTTCATACTTATCTGACCAACCACAGCCCTACTTAAATCCAACCTCTCTGTCCGATCCGGCCCAATTAATGTGATTAAAGAATAAAATAAAGCCACGTTGCCATCTTTCATTTTCAGTTCATAAAAATATGCCTCAGCGGGTGCCGCGGCTCAATAGGCTAATCCTCCGGCCTGCAGCACTGGCACCCCAGGTTCTAGTCCCTGTTGGGGCACCGGATTCTGTCCCGGTTGCCCCTCTTCCAGGCCAGCTCTCTGCTGTGGCCAGGGAGTGCAGTGGAAGATGGCCCAGGTCCTTGGGCCCTGCACCCGTATGGGAGACCAGGAGAAGCACCTGGTTTCTGGCTTCAGATCAGTGCGGTGCACCGGCCGCAGCGGCCATTGGAGGGTGAACCAATGGAAAAGGAAGACCTTTCTCTCTGTCTCTCTCTCACTGTCCACTCTGCCTGTCAAAAAAAAAAAAAAATTAAAAAAAAAAATAGGCCTCAAGTGCACTGCTGTTCTTCCTAACAATCCTTAGGGATTTTCCTCTTCCATTCATACCTTCCACTTTCCATGACTGTTTCAAATCTTCCACTAATCTCCTCAGGTAATCCTTGATTCCTGAACCTCTGAGAATGAGGGCCAATCAAAAGAGAAATGAAATTCTACAGGCAAGACATCTACCTTGCAAAAACATTTCTTTATCTTCACTCTTCATGGATATGTTCGCATTGCTAGTGAAGGCCAGCACTATGTTTGCATATCCTAGAGACTCCATTCTCTGTAGCCTATGCAAAGACATTGCTTCAGCAAACCCTTCTCCCCTTCTTTCTCATGTATTTCTCTATGGAGAGAGGAGGGTTGGGGAGAGAGAATTTTCAATCACTGGTTCACTCTCAAAATGCCTGCAGCAGCAGTATCTGGGCCAGGCCAAGGAAAGGAGCCTGAAACTCAATCCAGGTCTCCCACATGGGTTACAGGACTTACGTACTTGAGCCATGATCTGCTGCCTCTCAGTGTGTACATCAGATGGCAAGCAGAATTGAAAGCAGAGCTGGGACTTCAACTAGGCACTCTCGTATGAGATGTGGGTGTCCCTAGCAGCCTCTTACCACTACAACAAATATCTATCCCTATAGTTCTTATTAGTATTAAGTACATGCTAGTATTTCCCCATCCTAAAATAAAAAAAAAAAAGTGCCTACCAGTTTCTCTGTAACCATCTCTCCTTTACTGTAAAACCTCCTCAGAAGGATTATCTTAATCTTATAATCTTTGTCTACAAATTTTTATTTTTATTTTTATCTTCACCTTTTCAGCAATTCCTATCATTACATTAACTGTTTGCTCCCACCACCCCATTGACAATGCTTTTAACCAATGTCAGTTATGATCTCCATCATGTGAAGTCCAATCATCATTTCTGAATGTTCATTTAACACTGGAACATTTGACACAAATGACCATTATCTTGCTTCTTGAAGCACTTTCTTCGAGTGCATCCGAAACATCACACTTGTCTGACTCAGTTTCCACCTTTATAACCAGTTATTGGTTCTTTCTCAGTCCAGTTATTGGTTCTTTTTTATCTTCAGTATGGAGAGTCATAAGGTCAGTCTATCAATGGCTCTTTTTTCTCTTAAATCCTTGGGAGGCATCCTTAAATCCTATCTTTTACACCTACATTTAAACTGCCTGCAAATTCTGTCACCTCTAACTACAAAATATGTCCAGAATTCAATTGACTTTTATTCTTATCCCTATTCCCTATGAATATCTCATTCAATCCCCTGGCTTTAAATATCACCTGTGTGCTATTAAGTCCCAAATTGCGAATTCTAGACCGGTCCCTCTCCTGAATGCCAGACCATTATACATAATTGTTTATTCAATATCTATATTTGGTTGTCTATATTATATATGCTGTAAGCATGTCATACTTAACATGTATAAACTGACCTCCTGAAACTATCTCCTTTTCTCTCTCTCATTGCTCTCTCTCTTTCTTTCACCTCTCTCAACTTATTTATTTATGTGAAAGGCAGTGACAGAGCGGGATAGACAGAAAAAGAGTGATCTTTCATCTGCTGGTGCACTCTCCAAATGTTTGCAACACACCAGGCTGAGAGATTATGAGGCCACAAGCCAGGAGCCCCATTTGGGTCTACATCATATTTGAAAAGAACACAAGTATTTGGGTCATCACCTGCTACCTCTCAGGAATATTAACAAGAAGGTGGAGAAGAAACAGAAGCAGGACCTCAGCCCAGGCACCCTGATATAGAATAAAGGTGTCCCCTCTGGCAAAAAAAAAAAAAATGACCTAAATGAAAGATCTCTGTGGGTGAGATCCCAGTGGAAAGAACAGGTCATCAAAGAAGGAGGTACCTTTCTCTGAAGGGACAAGAGAACTTCCACTTTGACTACGACCTTGTCTAAATATGATCAGAGTCGGTGAACTCAAAAGGCTTCCATAGCCTTGGCAACTCATGACAAGAGCCTAGGGTGATTACTGATGCCATAAATAAGAGTGTCAATTTGTTAGGTCAACAACAGGAGTCACTGTGTACTTACTCCTCATGTAGGATCTCTGTCCTTAATGTGCTGTACATTGTGATTTAATGCTATAACTAGTACTCAAACAGTATTTTTCACTTTGTGTTTCTATGTAGGTGCAAACTGTTGAAACCTTTACTTAAACATGCTAAACTGATCTTCTGTATATAAAGAGAATTGAAAATGAATCTTGATGTGAATGGAAGGGGAGAAGGAGCAGGAAAGGGGAGGGTTGCAGGTGGGAGGGAAGTTATGGGGGGGGGGGGAGCCATTGTAATCCATAAGCTGTACTTTGGAAATTTATATTCATTAAATAAAAGTTTAAAAAATGGAAAAAAAAAACAGAAAAATAATGGGTTTTTTTGAAAAAAAAAAAAAGAATAAAGGTGTCCCAAGCAGCACTTTAACCCACTGTCCCACAATATCTGCCTTCTCAGTGTTCCTTTAAAAATGAGTGATTCTTCCAGTTGCTTGGGTCAAAATTCTGGATGTCATTCTTAGCTTTTCTATTCCTCAAAGGCTACATCTAATCAGTTAGCAAATCCTGATCACACAGCTTCCAAAATACATACAGGATTTGACCACTTCTAACACTAGAGTCCATTTGGCTTTCTTGGGTTGTCCTGGGGACATTGACAGGAGGGGACAAGGTAACGTACAGATGGCAGTCCTTGGCCAGGTTTTGAACATTCCGGGGTGATTACTGCAGAAGATATAGGTCAGGGTTCTATTTTCACATGTGTTCAGGCTGCCATTATCTATCTGCATAGTCATTCATACATATTTTAGTACCATCTTTACCTCTTTCTGACTTTTGAGTTTCAAATCTTGAGAAAACATGCCTGGGAAAGGCTGTCACAGCCCTTAAGCCCGAGGTCAGCAAGGCCCAGATTCCTGGGCAACGCAGTTTGCCTGAGCACGAACATCACCGGAACATTTCCACCATTCTGATGTCTAACTTACCAAAAATACGCTGTGATCCTAGACATGCACATGTGCCCTGGGGCTCTGCACCTGCTGGACTTGAGTGTTTGAGTGTGCATGCCCAGAGCTGCTGCTTACAGAGGCGTGTAGCACCTGTAGCGACTTTGCCTTTTTCTGAAGTCCGGGTACTTAAGCAGCGGCGCTTTGGTGCCAGGCCCAGAGAAGCCTGTTCCTGTGACCTAGTGCTAATATGGGGATTGCAGGAAAATTGGGGCACATTTGTAGCTACAGATGTATTTTCCTCTGTACCATTGCATATATGGATCATCTTAAAATAGAGTCCTTTTATAGTCTCTCATAGGTGGAGGTAGCAGCAGTATAGCAAAAAACTAACTCAACAGATCACTGATCTGATTCATATCTCTCTCTCCACCAGGACAAATCATGTAGCCTTTCTGGTCTTCATTTTATTAGTAAAAAAATAGCCATCCTCTGTGGGGAGCAATCCGGACTAGACTAAGTTACTCGAATTAGGACTTATTCTATGCATCTGCTCTCCCACAATATGGCGCTGGGAGAGAAGTAAACAGCTTCCGCACAGCTGCCTCCAGTTCAACCAATTAACTGTAGGACTTGCTCCTGATTGGAGAGCAGCGTACTCGGCGTGTGGGCAGCCGAGTTGGGATTGGCGGAGGAGGACTATAAAGGAGGAGAGAGACGGCATGCACCAGGAACATCTATGGGGAACATCTAGCTGAAGGAACACCTGTGCAGCCCCCGAGACGAGCCGGCCGGCGGTGTGCTGCTCCCCTGCGGAAGTGGGGAATGCGGCCAGGGGGAACTGCCCTTCCACGGAGGTGGAAGGGACGGCAGCCAACCCGGGAAGAACCAGCAGCAAACCCGGGGAGGGCCGAGCAGATGAAAGAACAGCGCAGGGTCCTGTGTTGCTCCTCCACGAAGAGGGGGAGCGACATAATGGTGCCGTGACTCGGATATGAAGCCT